AGTAGAGAATACCTAATCATGTTTGTTTGGTTATGATTAGTTTGCACCACAATGCATCCAATCAGACATGATTGCTGGTGCTCGTTATCAGAGGAGTTATGTATGGGGGGCAGGGAGGTGGTGGGTCGTTCGCGGAGTTAAAGGGAAAGGAGGGCGGGGGGGATGGTGGATCTGTGTCAGTGTGAGGGTATAACATGCTTGTCTCGTTGCTTTCCTTGCTCCGTTTTATGCCGCTCCCCCTCTCACTGCACACCATTTCTCCTGTAGCGAGCGGCAAGCGCTCTTTTTCTTTCCTGCTCCCCCATCTCCTCTGCGCATGTTTAATCAACCAGTATGGTTGCCATGCCAACCCCAGCGCGAAATCTGAGAATAGAGCGAGTACTTCAGAGCCATGACCCACTTTACTGTATGTCAACAAATTCAGTGGGACAATAGTGAATGAGACGCACTTCACACACGAGCCCTCAGGGCCAAGGGGCCGATGAGGGCCAGGTCCAAAGGCCTGGCGAACAATTTCCTCTTTTTCTCCTCAGAGATACAAGAGTCTGAGAAAAACTGCATGCCTGATAGACTGGGGGCGTTCTTTTGTTTAACTTCATTCCAGGAACTAAGCGATAAATGTAAAAAGAAAAACGCCAGAGATTTGCATGAAATGAACTCACTATGAAGAAAGAAGGAATGTAGGAATTTCATGAGAAAGCTGCAAAGCAAAACCTTATTCTGCTATTTAATGTTCTCAAGTTAATCTGACCAGCAACTTAAACTTTACTAAAGCATACTACTGCTTGATAATTTTACTACAGCAATATTACAGTCATGTTTATTACCACTATTAGATGTTGAATCACAGGATTTACAGTACAATCAGTTGTTTTGGCACAATAAGAAGTCGTCACGATGTTTTCAGAGAAAAGTCTCAAAAAAGGTGAAAAGAACAATTGGAGGAAGTCCCCTGACTTCTTCAGGGCTGGACAGGTTAGGACTCCAAACAATGAGACAGGGAGGAGCGCACCGAGGACACAAGACTCATGTTTTATAACACGGCCAAAACTGGACAAATTCTGCTGCTGCACCCTGACCTGACCTCAGTTTCACCAGGGTCCTCACTGCTGCACAGACTCTTTATAACAGTCTGAACATTTGGCAGTAATAAAGCTTTATTGGATTTATGGATGTTCCACAAATCCTCAGATAACATGATGCTGAAGAGATTTTATTTATAAATCTAAAGTCCTTTGACTTTACAAATCAGGATGGATCAGTTTGTGGTTATTTAACTAAATAAAAAATACTGTTTTAGTGCTTAACATCAAACTGAGCTAAACCCTTCAGAGCTGCTGAATGGTTAATAAACTTAACCTGTCTATTAGATAAGTTGAAAACAACTTACTAAAAATTGTCATTAATATTGTGTTGCATCGTATATTAAATACAAATATACATAAATGAAACATGTAGTTCTAGAATAATTAAATCTAAATAAGTTTAAAAATAATTTACTTTTACTTTTTGTATTTTAAAGTAAAATTTACATTTAAAAAATTTGAGTAAACAGACCTTATTTACTGAGCCGTAATCACAATTCATACATCTTTACATGTTTTTCAACTTAAAAGAAATGAAAGTCGCTTACTCAATGACTCTATTGAGGATTAAAAAAAATTGTTATATGTCACTTAATCAGATGTTATCTGTAAATAAATAAATTCATTTGTGTTTGTTTAAGTATAAATATCTTTTAGAAAAAGAATAAGAAATAGAATCTGTTCAATCATTTTACTTACTGAATTTTCTGTTTGTCTTCCATATTAAGACCTGGAAAACCAAATGTAAAGTTTTGAAACTATTTCATTTAAAACCACCTGTCCTTCAGAATAATGATAAAGCCATTCTCTAATAATAGAGGAACCTATGTCTGGATGTAACCCGAGGTTTCAAACTTGTATACCATACTGATTATAGTTGTGTTAAAAAAAAAAAACATCATTTAGATCAGAACATCAATTTTGAGTTTTGATTTTCCATATGGCGTCTGTGATGGATTCACAAGATTATAAAGTTTCCCTTTTTCTGGATTTATAAAAAACGTTGATCATGGACTAAAGAGAGTTGAAGGGATAATTTGGGGTTACAGGCATTGATTGGAGTGGATTTTCATATGAATCAGCTTTGCGCTTTGGGTGTGATGGTGAGTTGAGGGTAACGGTGAGCAAAGAAGCCAGTTAACTGTGAGACATTTGGCAGAAATGAGCAGACAGGGGGTTGTTGTTGCCATTTTGTTGAAAAACTCAGAAGTGGCAGAAACAGGACATTAAAAAGACCACTGGAGTCTCTTTTACAAGATGAGTCGTCTATGAAAATTAAAACTTATGAAGGAAGTGATGCAGTTCTGTTTTCAGAAAGAGGAGAGATGAGAAGATTGTGAAGATTGTTGTACTGAAAACAGTTTGAGTTTGATGCAAGTTTAAAATTGAAACATTCTTAAAATTCTGTGAACCTTTCAAAACATCGCCAAACTCCAGGATAAAATGACATGTTGTGTTTGTTTGGTAGAGTCTATTTTAGGCTGATAAAAATATCAATAAGGTCCTTGATATGTATCTGATGCCAAGTAAGAATCCTCATCAAACCTCAGAAGCAGAAGGACACGCTGTGCCTTGTGGAGCAGCTTCTTGGCTCAGGCTGGGCTAACAGGTGGACTTTTCTCTGTTTTTCCATTGAGCATCAATCAGCACACTGACTGGGTACATTTTCAAAACTTCAGTTTGAATTATTTGTGAACAGTTTTACTCCTCATGTTGTCATTTTTAAGGGGTTCCTTGGAAAACTAATCTTCTTAGCCTCATGTCTGTGTTTCAGAAAGGTTGTTGCTTTGCTTCCCTGTGGCGTCTGGCCACTTTCATGTGTGGAGTGGACCCCTACTGTCGGCCAGCAGCTCAATGAGCTGGTGCATCTGACTCATAATCTGAGATTTGCAGCCTCAGAAGAGGAAGACAGAAGGGAATTAGCGGGCAGTGAGTGCACTCAGTGACACCCGCAACCAGGAATTAAAAACATGTTTTAGAAATTGATTTTCTCTTTGTGTGGGAAACTTCTTTTGAAATAGTCAGAGATCCATGTGATCCGATACTTTCAGACTCCATCTCTTGTGTCTCAGCAGCAAAGTGTGGCTCTTGCTTCTGAGTAATGATTGTTACAGTGGATTACAGGATTTTACAGAAAGATGGGCATGAAATCAAAGAGGACAGCCTCAGTCTTCATCTCGCCTCTTCAGTGAAGTCATTCTGATCATGTGGCCTCTTCAAAGAGGATCTGTTAGTCACTGCTTTAATATCAGATGCATCAAGTTTCTGTCTAATATCTTTATTAACCAGAGGCTTATTTAGCTAATGTTTGAAAGCTGCTTTAAGTCGATGTAGTAGTTAAGGTGTTAACAGGATATTAAAAACTTTTAATCTCTTTTTTTTCTTCGAGCTTTCAAGGAGTTTTGTTTTAGCAAACAAATAATCATTGAACACTATTGAACTGAATGTGTCATTTTGTGTCATTACTCCTGGATCCATATGAAGGATGTCAGTCTGAAGTAGTCAAATGTAAGATAAAGAGACAAAATGAAGATTAATAAAGTAAATAAATGTCAAGTAATAACACATTTATTCATTTTTGTTTCTATATTTAAATTTGATACTAAAAGATTTTGTCATCCATCAGATTGATTTTATCACCTTAATGAACAGATTCTTATTAAAAATATACATTAATCATAATGAGACTTTTACCTGAATAATTAATTTCAAAGAATAGTTTAATTTTTTAAAAAATATTATTTTTAAATTAAATATAGATCACTTATATGATTTAGGAAGCACAGCCATATGCCACTTATATTTGGTCTTTAATTTACAGATATTTATGTATGGAGCATATGACATCACTAGCATTGCTATGGTAACAGGTTGATTTGATTTAGTTTATTTTTAACTGCCTTAGAAATTCTGGTCTCTCTCAATGAGACTTTAGCCTGAATAATAATAATGATAATAATGATAATGTTTTTTTTTTAAGTAAAATATTAAAATTATAGATGCATACAGTTTTTGTGTCTGGGTAACATATGTTATGTTGACTCTCAGTCTCTTGCACAAAACCACTCCAGAATTGTTCTGTCTCGATATTTCTGTCATTCCAGCAGCTCCTCAGGTCTGTCTTTCTGTTTTATGTTCACTGTGTGTTCACACACACACATACACACACACACACACATGCCTTTTCCTCTATTTGCAGTGAGTTGGTTTGATTCTGCAGCTCTATAAGTCTGGCCGCCTCAGTCATTCGCAGACACAGTGAATTATTTCTGCATAACTGAAGTGTAATCAGCAGGAGTGGGCGAATAGAAATTAGATGATAAGGACGGATCTGTGGCAGCTGCTGCAGCTCGTGTGTGTGATGCAGAGGAGAGGGACTGGAGGAGGGGAGCAAAACACAAACATATGAAGCCATGCCTGTCACATGAAGTGGATTTCAGGAGGGGAGAGTTCAGGCACAAACAAAGGTGTTTTTGATGTGACATGTCAAGATTTCTTTTGTAATACTGACATCGTTTTAAATGTTTCACTCCATAAAGCAATAAATAATCTTCTCCCTTCCCTGCATTAAAGTTTCCTTTAAATCATTCATGCTGGGATTTCATGCAAAGCAAACGTTGCTCCTGTTTGAAGTAAATTAAAAAGCTCCTCCATTAAATCAACAGTGAGCATTGAAAAGCATTGCAACACTGGAGACAAAGAGCAGAACCAGAGGCTCGGTTTGGTTCGTGTTTTTCTCTGAGCCGTCACGACAAGCATGAAATCCTCATGGAGCACACAAAGGCAGCCCAGCCACGGCTGCAGCCGTTCACGCCCCTCTGGCGACCCAAGCAGCTCACTCAGACACGATACCCAACAAAGAACGTACTGCAAACTGCTGCCCGCCTAACCCACCAGTTTCATGTCAAACCTTACCTTTCTGGGTCTGCCCCTCGTCCAGGTCTTCTTCCATGCTGCTGATTCTGTTATAGACTAACTGAAAAAGCCTGCTTGGATTGAAGGCTGAAAATCTGAATTATATCAGAGATAATCCACAGAAGACTTCCTCTTTGCTTCTCTTGTATCACTTTCCCGCTGTCTCTGTGTCTCTAGTGGACGCTGAGACTGGCTGTCAGCTGTGGTTTCTGTCAGGTGTCTGGATGATGCAAAGGAATCAGTGAGTCTTTGTGGTGCTGTCCACTGTGAGCCGCCGTGCCGAGTGCTGAAAACCTCCCTGGTCCCTGGCGGAGGAAGAGGAGGAGGAAGGGGAGGTGGAAGGGGGCTTGGACTGAGCAGAGGGTGGTCTTTATGAGGCAGCAGAGAGAATGTGGAACAAAAGCCTGTTTCTGAGAGCGAACCCGTTTCTGGAAAATGTGGAGTTAGAACAGCGAGGCATGCAGAAGGTTTAGACGGCTGAGACCCTCAGCCTGTGGCATGTTCTCCGTCATGTTGAGTTTGTTTGAACATTACTTGGTTTAAACGCCCCTGGATTTCCAGACAGAATGGTTACACCCATTATCACCCCCCCCACACACACACACACTGTAGCTCTGCTGCATTAACTCATTCCCACCCTAAATGAGGGAGGGGGCAACTGATTTTCAAATAGGATTCTCCTAATCCTGTTAGTCATACTGATTCAATTACACAATCACCAAGTAGGTAGTGTTTTCTCAGAGAAGCATATTTTATTTTCACCTTCAGTGATCTGAAGGCGAGAAGAGGCCAGTTTGTTAGCAACATTTATTCACAAGGTAAATCCAGGTTGTTTACAGGAAAAGAAAAGGAAACAAAGGAGAAGAAAATTACATTTAAAACAAGAATAAAGTGTGAACACCACATAAAGATAACAATTAGCATACACATTTATAACAAGCAAAAAAATAAATAGAGATAAAAATGAAGAATGAAATCATCTTTAATGGGATCTTCAGTAATGTTTTCAGTGCGGATTGTTCCATGTAACTGAGATGTTTGATAGAAACCCTGAAATGTGCAGGAAATATTTAACCCAACAGGAGGTGAAATAAAAAAATAAAAGTCCAGAGCATTACTCTTGGACATGGACGTGATACATGGGTCCAAAAAAATCCTGTCAGAAAAATAAAAGTAAAGATTTTGGCCGAAATCAAGATTTACCAACCAACTTTTTCACATTTAATAAAGAATTATTTTATTATAAATAAGAGTGATATTAATTGCTTATTGATTTATTTAATCAAAAATACAAAACAAAACAAAAAAAAACTAGATGAAATATGGATAAATTATTTGAAAGTAAATAATTCTAAATTATTTTCTGTTTTGAATTTCTAAGTGAGCAAAAAGAAAAGAAAATATAAGTTATTAAGTTATTCCGAAACGATTTATAATTATAACAGTTCAGGGTAAATTAAAACATTCAGGGATTGGAGAAAATTCAGGATGCCATCGGAATGGGAAAGAAAGCTGTTTCTGCTAAGAGGTCAATAAAAGGGCCTGAGCCTTGGAGCAGAGCAGTTTCTGGGGTCAGAGGTCAGATTGAGTGCAGATGTGAATGCAACAAGATGTTCTATCTGTTAGTGTGAATATTGACACATTAAACATCTGCAGTTAAATCCTAATTTAAATCACACATGATGTAGAATCCTTAACTCCAGACAAAACTCATACATGTCAGATAAACATGAATAATCTACTTTTATGATTTGTGAAAAATGTAGAATTGCTAACAATGTTGATTGTATAAGAGCTTATGAATATACTATTCTATACGTTTTTAGTTTGTGTCCAGGATGTGTGGGGTCTGCAGAGACTCCTGGGCGAGGTCCTTCAGTTTTCTGTTTCTTGTTTTCATTTTATATTTACATTCAGCAGAACCTGCAGCAGATTTTGAGTCTGAATTAATAGAAATGGATTAATATAATACTGGGTCTGCAGAAAGAAAGCATCCAATCTGACATGCAGATGACTTTCACACAGCTGTTGCTTGACTAGCAGACAGACGCGCAGTCCCAACCTTTGTCCCGGATAACTACAGATCAGCTTATTGTTGCTTTGTTAATGGGGATGAGAGATTTGCTGCATGAAATGGGGGAGGGCTGTTTCTGTGGGGGAATCCTAAGCTTCCAAAGCTCCAAAATATCCCTTTGGCCAGTCAAGTTCACGCACACACACATGCACACGCACGCACGCACACCCTAACTAGCAGAGATTCTTCTGCTCTGGGTGCCATGAAGCTGATAGGAAAACTCAGCAGATGGTGAAACACTTTCCGAGGGCATTTTAAGGCACTGTTGCTTTCTAACATTCAACTTGTCTTTCTCTGTTTTCATCACAGATGCGATTTATTTTAATATTTTAACAGGATTTAAGACCCATATTTACTATCTTAGATTAATGTGCTTACATATTATTTCACAATAGACTCCTTGAAAGTCTAAGCTACGGCTTGTGCCTATTACCAACAGAAGGAACCAAAGAACCTCGCACTAAGCTTATCAATGTGTCCTGGTCGCTCTCCAGTATGGGCTTTCCAGTTGCCATAGCAACCAGGCCTGAGAGATTGCCTAGTTGGAGAGACAAGTTGGTGCAGGATAAATATAAACCTTCTGCTGTAACTGTTGTGTGAAGCAGCTTATCCCGTTTCTCATTGTTAGTTTTCACAATATGATTATTTTTTGAAGGGGAAGTTTGACACCGAGGATCCGGATTCTGATTTTCACTGTCCCTCATCTCCAGAAGTTAACCAGCGACAGACTCCTCCGTTTAAGTGCTGATGTGTGTTCACGCCCAGTCAGGCTGAGGGAAATCTAAAGGTCCTGAAAGATTAAGGAGGTCAGTTTGTAGCTCCTGTGGGGGAGGCTGTGAAAAAACCCACACAGTGTCATTAAACCAGAATGGGCTGCTGCATGTCAGATGGACAGAGGAAGTCTGATATTTACACCCACCTATAAAACAACAGATATCCCTTTATTCCTTGACATTAAATCAAACTGAACATGTCCTGTTTACGTCAGTTAGGATTACCAACATGATTTTCATTCGGATTTCCAACTACTGTCAAAGTCTTTCATTACTTTAATCATATTCCAAAATATACTTTCCTTAAAATTTACTTTCATTTAAACAATATGGGACTTGAACCGTAAAGACAGTGGACAACATCGGAGTTCAATGGAGGCACACAGGGATGGATTTTAAGGCAACCTGCTTCCTTGTGTGACATTATGGCATGATCAAAATAAATAAATTAAAACTAAATAAATCAGGCAAAATGTGAAGACTACAGTGAAAAGCTGACATCTAATACTTGAAAACCCTCTAAAAACAATTTTAAATGCTTATTTTAATAGCTCAAACGCCAAATATACCCTAGTATGCATCATACATACAGTGGAAACTGACTTGGTACAACAGCAGAAGCCAACATCTGGTTTTCCTTATCGTCTTGGGGTTCAACCAAATACCACCAAAGAAGATGAGTGGCGCTCCTGGATTGGCTGTTTTACAAACGCCAGCCAATAGCGTGTTAAGATATTTCAGCTTCGCAAACTGCATTTTCTTTCAAATATTTTAGGTATGCTGTATATAAATCCACAAATAGGCAGAATCTGTGAAACATTAAGGGCTTAGATTGAAAATATAAAGACAATAACAAAAACAATATTGCCTGCCGATTGTTTTTTCACGATATTGGATATCTTAGCGATAAATACCCTTAAAATCAATTCTATTATAAGATCCTGGATGTTTTAAAATCTCAAATTTGTGATAATTTAAAGTTTGTTATTTTCTGCAGGATGTTTGTTGGAATTCAGTTTTAATGTTGGATTAAAACTGAATTGCAATCCAATAATCCAATAATTGGATTATTGCTTTAATGAAGTTTATCACTGACCAATCAGACGCGTTTTATTTGCTTTAGTGGAGCAGAAAAACACTTTTCAACTGGATGACCTGGTGGCTCAGCAGGCTGGGCTGCCTGAGTTGGATAGCCTCATGTAGGCGACAGCCCAGAATCAGCTGAGGATGTGGAGATCATATCATTACAGCATTGTTCTATCTCTCTGTTGAAAGCGCGGCTCTTAGACCACAGGAGAGGCCAGGCACTCTGCCAGAAACACTTATCATCCTGACATCCATTTCTCACTGGCTTCACAGCTCAACTGTACTTTACGCCAAGCTTTCATGAGAGCTCAGAGGTTTGGGAGCAGAGAAGGCATCTTAGTCCAAGTGACTGTGAAAGGGTTTGGCACCAGAAACAGTTTAATCTGAACCAGTCAGTGTGCAGAGTCAAGCTCTTTTGTCAAAAATCACACTTCTTTCTTGAAAAGCCGTTGAATCATAAATAATTTGAATCTCACAAATGAAAATTGGTTGTATTGACTGTTTGGTGTCCACTGAGAGGAAACACCAAGTCTATACACCCAGAAAGAGCTTCAGTGTTTTAAAGGCATTCATTCATTCATTCATTCATTCATTCATTCATTCATTCATTCATTCATTCATTCATTCATTCATTCATTCATTCACCATACCAGAGAAAACCCTGCTGGGTCAAGAACTAGAAGTTCATGAAAAAAGTCACTGTGCAAACCTTTTGTTATTTTAAATATGTTTCTTACATATGAGTGCAATAAACATTTTTCTGCTGCATCTGTCTCATCATCACTACATGATTGAAAACATAAAAGGCTCGGACCAGACTGATTTATTCAGCCAGTAGCGGACCGGGCTGTAAAGGTGTCGATTGATCTGGGTTACGACCAAAACGCTTTCTGAAATGTTTTGCTCGATAAACTTGATGTATCACTTCTGTTAATGTCGATTTTTATTTTAAACATTAACGACTTCTTTAGCTGTTTTCTCCCGTCATTTGTCCATCTAAAACATGCACATCAAACCACTGAACTTTGACCTAAGAGGTTGGCTCTTATGTGTTGTGCCAACACAGTCGTAAATTAAAATATGCATCCCGATGAGGTTTGTTTGTCAGATTAAAGGAATCTTTTGAAAATATTAACATTTAAGTTGATATTGATAAGTCCACAATTTTTAAACAGTTTATTTATTGGTCTGATTTAATCTTGTAATTTTAAATGTCATATTTTTATTAATTGTATGTAGAAAATCTTCATAATTAACAGAATTAAAGGCTTTCAAACATCCATCTGTGTAATTAATTTATAGAATGTGTTTTTCTAGTGATAAAGATTCTAAAATAAATGGGCTTTTGAGTAATATTCTAATTTATAGAATGGGTCTGCAAATTTCACTATCATTTTTCATATTTGCCACACATTTCATTAAGATTTATGGTTCTAATACATTAATTTGAACTATTTTTTTAAACTTTTGTCTGCATCTCTGGCTGCTTGTTTTGGGCCACTGTGCTGCTGAAAGATTAAATGACAGTTTTAGCCATTTTGTTACTACCAAAAGATAAGATGGATATAATTCATCTAAATATGTTGTGTGTACATGTTCAGTGAAACACATTGCACAGCTAACTTTTTCCAAAATTCATTTAAAATGTCCTTTAAGGAAATAACTCTGACATGTCAGTAGTGTTATCCTGGTGGAAGGATTTATCTTCCATCACAATTAGGAGCTTAAAGCACCGCTTTATGTGAATCATCCAGATTTTTGAGAACATTTTATTGATGAGGGCTGAATAGCATTAACAGCTTTTTAGCCTTTATGGTGGAGGTTGATGGTCGGTCATCCTGATTTTGGCTCTTGCAGAGATTTCTTCTTCTTCTTCTTGCCTTCAATGTTTGACTGATCTGACTTGAAAAAAGGGGATAGCTGCAAAAGAAAAAAAGAACAGTGAACTCTGCTGATTTCTGTATTTGCCTTTCTATAAAGTACTAAAAATAACTATACTGCATTACAATTGGTTGGATTTTAAATGTATGACACAAAGATCTAATTGTAACAGCATATTAATAGATTTCATGGGAATTAATTGCACCAAATGAATTTGGACTGGACTGGATCGTGTGCAATTTAACATGAATTAAACCAAAATTAAGAAATGTGTGCAAGAAAATAAAGCATTATCAATGTGTTTTATTTTATTTTTTTCATTTTATGGTAATTAAATAAGCAACTAGTTGGGTGGCTGAAGTGAGGAAACAGTATAAAATGAACTTCAAAACATTCAGTTATTTCTTTTAAAATACCTATTAAGAAAAAAAAGATAGTGTTTCTGTATAAACCTGAATAAACTCTCAAGGTTCCATGAGTATAGTGGCAGTTTTTTATGAACTACATGCACTGTTTCATTTTTCTTACAGCTGCTGTCAAAATGGCCACACAATGCTGCCACCTACTGGTACGAACAAACACCGCAAACAAAGAGGCTCAGTACCTTAAAATCAGCCACATTTCACTGTTTTTCAAACTATTTTATAACTAAGGTAATCATTCTTTGACATAGTTTTACTGAAAGATTATACTTCACCAATTCTGCAAACCAGTTCATGAATATTTACACAGTGATGCAGTGAGCATGAAAGGTTCACCATTGAATTTCTGACAGGTTGGTTCACTTTTATCTCCTTGTAGGAAACAGGAGCTCCTCTCCATGTTGACGAGTCTGGAAAAAAGAGAAAATATAGATATGGAACAATGAAACTAAGTATATTTTATCTGTTATTGAAACACATGGAGTCCTCATTTTTATTTGACTACAAAGAAACATGAACTAAAAATATCTATAATAAACATGGGACTTTGCACTTTGCAGTGGCATGGTGTGGACGATCCATGCTCAGTGCTGCAGACATTCACCATGTCTTGACTCAGAATTACATGCAGATATTTTGTTTTCATAAGACTTCTTTCAAATCCTCCTGACCTGCTAGGAAGACAGACATTTATTGTTTTCTAAGACAAAATATGCTTTTCATATTATGATAATGCATAATTTTCATAATATATCAAACTTTGTTACATTATTTACAGTTGATAAACATGTGATGCTTCTTAAGAGGGAAAAGGTGAGCTGAAATAGTTTAAAAAATGCACATAAAGAGTTTTTTAAAGATATAATTTCATGTTGTGTAGTTTATCAAAACTGCACAATTGTAAACAATTCTTGTACATTTTGTCTCCAATGTTGTGATAGAATGAATGATCAAAATGTCACTATAAAATTTATATAAATGCAATGTCAATTTTGATGAAAAAAAGTAATGATTTAAATACATTAAAGTGGCTTTATCTAAATAACATACATAACAAAACAGGAATCATTTGATAATATAATTTTACCACTTGCTTATTTCTGTCATGATCCCAATCTAATAATATTAACTGTTAAAAAGCTCTATAAGTTTGACTTCTTCCATCACTTGATTACAAAAAAGATCAAACATAAATAAAGGACAAATGTCAGATTTGTCCTTTAACTATTGGACAAATATAAAAAACCCCACAAATATTACTAAAAACACAATCAATCTTTATATTGTTTGTAGACAGTTTGTTCATTTTAAGATCATTTTTGCCTCAGAATAAACAGGGATGTGGAACTGGGAAAACATGATGTAGATTATCCTGCATGTAGACTCTGACCAGAGTGAGTCTCAGGAAAAGAATGGCAGCAGCCAGGGGAGAAACTTTAAGTTTTATTTTGTGTTTATAGTTTTTGTATTTATGCTTATAGCATATAAATATCTGCAACAATAAACAAATATGCAAACAAATATCACCCTCTTAATGAACTTCCTTTATCTTAGTCGATGTAACTGTCGTCTTCTACCAGTTCATCTAAGTTGTGTGAAAACTAACTGCTGCTGCCACCTTTGTAAATCTAATCTAAAAAAACAAGAAAGACCTGAAGGCCCACTGGTGGGGAGAGACCCGTCTGCAGCTGCGTGCTCCAGATGCCTGCCGCCCCTGCTGGTTTGTGCTCTCCTCTGGTTTGAGCTGACGTCTGACTCGGCCATGATCCCTGCAGCTACCAAATTGTTCCCGAAGGACCTTGATGATGTGGAGCGAGTCAGTGAGGAGTGTGGTGACTGCTGACCCTCGACATCTGTGACACTGAGAAGAGAGTGAATAGTTGGTCATCTGTTGTCTTTTGTCTTTACTTTATCAAAAGGTGATTTTGTGGATCTGACACATTAATTAGATTTAAATACAAAAACACATCAAGACCTTTGTAAATTCAAAGAGCAACATCACAAGATAAGATAAGATAAGATAACTAGGTTTAACTTATCTTACTTCTGATTGGTCAGCATCTTGTAAATGTCCTGCACCAACGCCTCAGCTGCTCCTGGTTCACAGTGTATGCTTCCATAGACCGCTTCCTTCGATAGCTCCAGGTTCTTCTTCTTCAAAAACTGGAGCAATAATAATTTTGAACACAAATAGTCCAAAAAGTATTACAATGAGTTCTCATTAAAAAATGTATTTTAAGCTGTTTTATATTTATAATATTGCTATTTTAAAGGTTTCTTTGTATGTATATTTGATCTATTTTAACCACATGCTAACCAGATGTGAAAAACAGCTTGTTATATTTTTAGATTTTAATAACTCTTACCTTCTGTATCCTGCTCCAGTTCTTCTGCTTGGAAGAAAACGATACTCCGTTGTGATATGAGTACACTGAGATGTCATGGGGGTAATAACGAGAAAATATCTCGGCGACCAGGTAACCATTGGACAAATCCCTGGAAGTGGAGGAGAGGACACCGTTAAAATGAGTTGTGGAAGGAATTAAATGACCATTAAAATAATCAAAATATGAATCAAGTACATTCATTTGTAAATGCAAAGTTCAATCATTAAATTCTAACAGCAGTAATGAATGAGATACATGTCGCCTTTATTTAAACAAAAACACAAATCTCTTGTTTACTTAGAGATAAATGTTTACTCTTATTTATCTCAACATTTACTGTGATGTATTAAATAAGAAGAAAGCTATTAGATTATTGTATACTCAGATCTCAGGTTACATACAGCTTAAAAATTGTTCTAATATCTGTACGCACAGATATTAGAAATGTCTGATGATTCTAGACATTTCTAGAGGTTTTGGAAAAAAAGCAAACTGTATTATTCATCATGAAGCAACTAATTTTAAATACAAGTTAGCGTGCATTCAGGTGGAAAGTTGGTGTTATTTACATTTTATCCGCTTGGAGCACATATTTTTATGAACCTAAAAGTGTAGTTATTGATATACCTTCGCAGATTCTTTGGGTGAAATGATAGTTCCAGATCTTGGAGCCACTTGATGACTTCTCTGTCAACTCCTGTCTTCTGACCCTGAGAATAGGACATTTTCCTCAGATGAAGAAGATTCAAGATGAGCTCTTGGACACCGCTAACATTTACTCCACCAGCAGTTAAGCTTCCCCCCCCGATATGGCCTTTTTCTGTTTTTCCGTTTCTATGGCAACCAACCTGGCTTCTCGTTCTCGGCTTAACCTCTGCTGCCATCTAGCGGATAACTAACAGTTTTGATGGGAAATGCAAAGCAAAGCGCTTCAAAGGTACACAGGTTTTATTTCGCCTACAACTAACAACGAGATGTTTCAGTCTAAATGTTTATTCTTCAATCAATGTTATATAAAGGTTATTTATCAAGGCAACATAAACAGAAAATCATGAATGCGCAAGAGTCAACTTTAAATGATCAAGTAGTGTTCAGTGCTTACAATATCAAATAAAAGAAATTTGTTCATGTATACTGTAGTGTGTTATTATAACATGAAAACCTCTTAAAACAATGTTTTTTTTCATTATAAAGTGCTTGTGTGATTTTAGTTGCTTTATCTAACAAGGCATCACATGTGCAGAACAGAAATGAAGTGATATTTACTTTTTCAGAGCATCTGGATGACCATAATCAGACTAGCGACCCCTAAAAGTTCCAGCAGCAATTTCCTTCACATTCAGTGACCTCACAGTGAACTTTATGCACATGCACTTCCAGTCAGAAGTTTACGTCCATGCATTGTTGATTTGAACCATGGTACATTTATTTTACACACTTAGGACTTCAGAGTGGTTTTAAAAACAAACGTGAATTCTTTGTGGATTTTCTGTAGTCTACTCACGGTAAAAAAAAAGAAAAAAAATTACACATGCAGGCTTAAAAATTAAGATTCACCCAATAATGTTTGAATAAATGTTCTTTAGTAATTTGCAGGGAAACCATTAAGAAGAATCTGACATGATTCTGGTTAGATATTTTACCATTCTTCTTTTTAGAAATGGGAACGGTTGTTTTATTTTTCTTTGTATGGACCCTGCTTTTAAGCGTAGTGGATGAATTATTAATAGAGCTGAGGCTGGGTAATTTTAAAAATTATTCAGCCTGTTTTATGTATTACAAAGCAGTGCTGGTGTGTGTTTTGGGTTAGTGTCCCATTAGAATCCTCCTGTTGTGTCCAGTTTTCACTCTTCTCAATCACACTGCCCCAGCTAAAATGAAAGACATGAGTACATGTACAGGAACAACCAACACGGCTCCAGCCTATCATTAAGTGGAAAAAGCTAAAAGTCGAGTGTCACCATCCAGAGTGAAGCATGTTTACATGTCTACAGCTAGAGGGTCACAACTTGGACACAGTTTGCTGCTCCCACATTTATATGACATTGATTCTGATGATGGGTGGATATGAAGTTCTGAGCTGAAGTGCATCTTTTGGTTGGTTGGTGCAGTTGGGTACTTCCTTTATTCAGTTTCTGCTCTGTGTCTGGTTGAAATAATCCCTCAGGGTATGCTGGGACCCCAGCATTACGGCCAAACCGGTTCTGATGTGTTTAGATTAGGTCATTGGTACTGCAGGTAGTTCTTGAGCCTGTTGGGAAGAGGAAGGTGGGAAAGAAGGTGGAGTCTGTCGCGGCCAACGCAGCTTCTGATGCACTGACGACACAACTGGCTCAGCAGGCGTGGCGTAGCTGCGAAAACACACAAAAATCTGACCTGAAAGTTATTTGAAACAAATCAGGAAATAAAGACATTTTCACTGGAAGTAGCCTGGATGTGAGGAATCATGAAGCCAAGTTAAACTGCAGGTCAGCAATAAGTCGTACCTTCGTAGAACAGCAGGAAGCCCTCTGTCAGACTGCTGGGTGGAGCCACATCTACCGGTCTCTGAAACTCTGTGTTTCTGGCATTAATATCAGCCCCAAAGTCCAGCAGCAGCTTCACCACGGCGGTGCAGTCCTTTTCTGCTGCTGCGTGTAGTGGCGAATCCAGGGATTTGCCTTTCTGAACATTTGCACCTGCATGAAGAACAGAATAATGATCTGAGATCAGATTCAGGTCATGACCAGTTTTTTCTTCAGAACCATTAAGCTCTAAGCTTCAGATTCCTGTGTCTTTTCATGTAAATCTACAAATTCACCACATTTCACATGAAATCCTTTAACCTGAGAACATTTTCATCTCATTACCTTTAATTGAGAGTAGCAAGATTATAAGCATGAACAGTCAGCTGAAAATAGACAGATGTGATCAAACTGTATATGTTGTGTGTGGATTTTTTACTAACAACAACCAACCGTTCTCTCCTATTCATTCCCCTTGAACTTATTCATATTTTCACTTTACAATATAAGAGTACAGTGGAAGAAAAATGATGTGTGATTTTCACATTCAATAAGGAATTATAACCTATTTAGTGTGGTGTTCATCTGTAATCTAATATGCTCTATAACTATTACTTTTTACATCTCTTTACCTGTTATGTATGATGTGGTATATTACTATCTATGACAGGTTTAAATGTCCTATAAGCTTCTGGAAATGTGAAGTACTCCTACATGTGCAGTATCATTTACTTTTTACATTTGCCCTGTATTAGCATTTAAATTATTAAACATAATATTGAGTGCATATTCCAACTTCTTGCTAAATGCTTTTATGTGTCATATTTTTTGTATATTTTATTCTATTTTTATTTTTATTTTTTTGACATTCCTATCATGTTTGTACTTGTGTATGATTGTTTGAAGAAATGAGTGCAGCACCTTCAAACATCTGGAAATTGTTCTCAGGGACGAAGCAAACTGGTGCAGCAATTCCAGTATCAAACCAGAAACCAGTGTGTATCAGAAGTTTGAAAAGCCATGACGTAATCATCATCTGGGCGTACCCTCATTGTTTAAAGAGATAGTAATTATTCTTTTGATTTTGAACCAAATAAATGTCTGACATGTTCCCTCTCTCATTAGAAATGAGCAAATAGACAATTTTGGTAAGTATAACGGACCTCAGAGAAGAGAAGTTTGGATTTTGTTGTTAAAGTTTCTCTGCATTAAAGTTTTGTTCAGTTTTTTTAGATTTTAGACTTTGTAAGAATGCGTTTCCACAGGGTATATCCTAACCTTTCATATTCTACTTCTACTTGTGTGGATGCGTAGGACTTGCATCTGTCTCTGAGGAGATGTAAATATCCACACTGCGCTCCGAGCTAACCTTCCTTCAGGAGTTTCCTGGCACACTCCAGCTCTTGGCAGATGCAGGCAGTGTAGAGCGCTGTACCCAGGTGAGGAATGTCCATGTCCACATCGGCCCCCCAAGTCACCAGGGCCTCAACACAACCATAATGACCTGGAAGTAATGGAGCATGAAGATAGTAATCAGTATGCGACAATGTGAGGTGATTCTCCAAGCTGTCTTCTCCAGTCAGGTTCATTTATTTTTAAAGCTGCGGATTTTTTTTACATTGTAGGTCATTTAGAAAGGATGTTGTAGCAGAGCAGGAGACATAAACACAACTTGAAATATGGGATTGAGTGTAAGCCCAGATAAGGAGAAATATTGATAGGGAAAACATTGCGGACCATCAATGAAGCTAGGCTGCTGTTTCCCAGCTAGAAAACAGAAATATTTTCTTTTTCTTTTATGACTGTTTCTTTGGATGGATTGTAAACAACTTATGACCTGCTAAAGCAGTTTTTCACCCTTTAATGTTGGCTTTAGGCTCTTTTCAATACACCATATTCTGTCATGTTATACCTTTGCTGGTCGCTTCATGTATCGGTGAAGGTTGGTATACAAGGCTCTGGGGTTTTGCTCCATTTTCCAAAAGGATTTCAGTGCAAGCCACACTACCCACCATACAGGCATTGAACAGAGGGGTGACTCCATCAATTGTAGATGCATTGACCTGTAAAAACATTTTTATTGTTATTTTTAGCCATCTTTAACAATGCAGGTTGACTAATGGCACACGCCAGGGGGAACAATTTAATCGCTCTACAGTGTCCGTAGATGGAGAGCAGCACATCTCCCATTTGTTATCCCCTCCCGGAGTTTCCCATCCATGGAAATTACATTTGACCTCAGCAGAATGGCAACATTAAAGAGTCTCCAGGCCAGAATGTGACTTACATTCGCTCCTGCATCAATGAGCGCCCTGGCACAGGCAACATGGTCTGCGAGGCAGGCCTCATGAAGGGGTGTCACATGGTCTATAGTCAGAACATTCACATTGTGACCCTGGAAACACAGCACAGCAGCAGCCAGAGAGATTTAGTGGGAAATTTTGTTTTAAGAAGCACCCGGCAACAGACGCGCTCTGTCAGTCTCCGGTGGCGAACAATGGGAATTACACGAACATTATCAAAGCTCCTTGCACAAAACAGAGCCATCATCCTCAGTTATGGCTTTAAGTGATTACTGAATTTTACTGCAAAGTCACATTTCAGCTCCTCAGATTAATTAGCCTGCTAATTAAAGTGAAGATCAAACTGAAATCTGGTTAAAATTCTAGTAATTCACCATGTGAATACAGTCATGTTGTCACTGATGTGTCTGATGTGAACAAAGCACCTCATACTTCAGGGTATGGTCTTATGTGAGTGAGCCGAAGAAGAATAAAATGAAGTCTGTTGTTTTTTAATCCAGCATTTATTTGATAAAGATATAGGAAATAAGAATATTTCATTTTGCATTGAGACACTTTTAGCCTCTAACACCGATAAACTCGAGACCTACAGATCCTGGGGCAACAGAACACACATCACAATGTGTCTCAACTTCAAACAGCAGTTTTGGGATCTTTTTGTGATCAACCAACATAAAGTAGTGCACTAAAATCAAGAGAGAAAATTTCATAATTTTTTTCAACTTTTTTATGAGAAATGGCATAAAAATGTGGCACGACTGTAGAAATACCTTTCCCATCAGTCACAAATCTTTGGGGTTATTTTCTTACAAAAGTTAGACATCTTGACCTGCCTTTCTTGTGAAATAACTCAAACTCAGTTAGTTTTGATGGGTAACATCTGTACACAATAAAGTTTTACCAGTGATTCACCAGTAACATTTGGTCTGGTTAAAAACTGGGCCATTCTAACACAGACATGTTTGATCTAAACTCTTTGGTATGTCAAAGGTTTTTTCTGACAGAAAGTGAACGAGTCTTTGAGATCCTTTCTTTCAGAATTGTCCCATGTTTAGCATCCCCACTGCATGATGCTGCCTCCACTATGTTTCGCTGAAGGGATGGTGTGTTTATGTTTTTGTGTTTATTTTGTGCAAGTTTGATTTAGGCTTGATCTGATTCTGTAAAGCAACGATTTACGAAAAATATTAGTTAACAGGCTTAAAGATATCAATGACAATTTTATAGTTTGTTTAAGGTCTGTCACATAAAATCTCAACAGAATTAATTTAAGTTTGTGCTTTTAATGTAACAAAAACTGCAAAAAAAGTTAAAGGATGTGAATATTTTCGCAAGGGACTGTGTATGCAGCTCACTATGACTTCTACCCCATGCTTTCCACTCCTCTATCTCTTTATCAGACATCGAGTCTACAAAGGCACTGAGCGCAATTTAACAGCACCAGAGGAGGCAACAAAAGCCCAACATGTGTGCAGATAAGGGGACACACATTACCCTCTGAGAGATTGTGTTCCCTTCACCTGTAAAATGAGGGTCCTCAGGGCGAGGAGGCGGCCCTGACTGGCAGCGTCGTGGAGGGGTGAGCGGTCCGCCCAGGATCCTGCAACACGAATATAAATTCAGTGGTTGCTTCTACCCACATTTATTTCAGATTGATACGTCATGCTGTCCAGAGGAGAAACACGACCTTTAGAAACTACAATGAGGAACAGTACAAGAACCTGTCCCTGTGATGCTTAATCCAACAAGACATATTGTTTTAGCTGTATTGGTTCTAACCTTATATATTCAAGTCAGTATTGTGTAATGTGAAATGCACCCCTCGCCTGATCTCCCCCCATATCAGACACACCTGAGTCAATATCCAGAATAACAGCTGATGCATTCCACACGCTATCATCTTCATTGTTCTCCTCCTCCATTTTCATCATAAATTATAGATAACAATCACCTGAACTTCCTCCTTTTATTCATGTAGCATATTTTCCTCAACTGCCATTAATTTCAAATACAGACATATAGAGAGACATCAAACAGATTCCTCCTAACAAGGAAGACCGTATCTACAGGAGCGTGACTAATATCCTGATTTGAGCTAATTGGTATTCCCTTTGAGTGATAGCTACAGATTATGTTGTTGTCGTGTCTGTCTTGCCCCAGAATGTGTCTCCACGGCGCTTGTCCCCGAGAATGTGGAGTGTTGTTTTGGTTGCTGTGTGAGTGTGACAGGGTGCACTGCATAGCTGGGAATGGAAAGTAGGGCAGGCTGAGGGGGCTGGAGGGAGGGGTGGAGGCAGGATATCATGACTGGGTTCTATTATTATATTAGAGAGAGAAAGCTGCTGGGCCGATCAAGTCTTCGTTTAAAATTGAATACTTCAGGATTTATAAGTGGCTATTAAGCATGAAATGAAAGAAAAGTGGGCATTAATTCATATCCCTGCTATAAATGGGCATATAATTAATGGCTTTTATAGTAAATGGATAAGTGAAACTGTATTTATAACACAGAAATCATGTAAATATGGTGCATGTGCCCTTGATTTATAACCAGGAGGATTTCTTACGTCTGACCTTACAGGTGATGTCAAAAGTGTCACCATGAGACTCCCTTAAATACAGACGTGTAGTTGTGTCATAATTCACATCATATTCTGCTTCAAATAACCCAGTTTTATGATAAACAGCTTCAACACAGTTATTCAAAAACTTTTCTCCCGGTACTCACTGTGTTGTTGACCGTAGTCATAAAACTCTGCTGATATCCGGGCAGCTTCTTTACGGTTCCCACGGACTATATAGAAGTATGTCAGCAAGTTGAGAGAAATCTTAACAAAAAGCTTGAAGCAGAACAGTGCCAAAATGCTAAGATAGACATTGGACAACTGGACTGCGAAAGGCTTGTTGGTGAGTTCCACCGCTCGGTCTGACATTTCCTCAAAAGAGCTTTGCTTATGAGAAGGCAGGACCAGATGCTGCTCCAAAAGGCACAAGAGTTGGCTACTTTTCTTCCACTGTACTCTCTGATCGCCCGGTCCTGACAGAGAGCAGCCTGCAAAAAATGCCCTGCAGCTGCTACTGGGCCTGAGAGCAGCTACTGCAATGTTATTAAACACTGCCTGTGGGTGTGTGTGTTCACAAGTTATGAAAATTACAGAAGTGCCTGTTTGGTCATGAGAATCTAACCTTTAGTAACAGTAAATTATATATACATGCTTCAAAAATATGCTTGTTGTAAGATTCAATAAATGGGTTTTGAACAACCTGCATTTTGTTTTAAAATCTAATAGTACATATTTTTTTATCAATCAGATTCTTAATGTGTGCTGTCTCAATAAATACTCATTAGAGGGTAAAAGTAATTAAACATATTAGGAAAAGAGCAAAGAAGAAAAAAGACATTGATACAATTATGTTTTATGGATTTTCTGGTGGATTTAAAAGTAAAATGTGCCAATTTGGTTTGGCTTAGAATAGAATAGAATAGAATAGAATAGAATAGAATAGAATAGAATAGAATAGAAATTATCTTTAATGTCCCACATGAGTGAAAACACCAGATTAAGCATAAGTGGAAGCATAGCCACACAAAAGGAAAAATACATAAATAAGAAGAGAGACTATGCAACAGGGGCAAATTGACAATATAAGAAAATAATACCGTACAGTTATTCAGCTCAACATTCTCAGATACAAAGAAATGTGCAAATGACTATTAAATATGAGAGAAATATACATACTTAAGTTAAAATATATTTGTTGCATTAGTTTCAGTTAGTCTTACTACTTTACTATATTTAATACTTATTTACTTTTTTATAACAGTTATTTGAATCAAATGTAGACTGGAGTTTGTGTTTGTCTCTGTTATTACACTTATCCATCATCAGTTCTTGGAATATCACCATTTCACAACAATTCTGTTCTCTCATCCTGTCAGACATGTTTGTTTTTATCTGTAAATCACCCTCTGGCAAATAAAAACTGCTAGACTACATTATAAGGTCTGATTGGTTGATTCTGAAAGAAGTGATAATGGATTTAGTTTGAATTAATATCATCATATTTAACAGGTTGTTTCTACACAAGTTCTCTGAAGCGAAATTGTCAGCGTTTCCCTGGAAACGCCTCTGTAGTTCTGCGCGTGCGCACAGCGTGACCGAACACCTTTTCCGCGAACATTAAACGGCCTTTCTTCCTGTGTTTACCTCTCCGTGTTCAGCTGTTGTTTCTTCGTCTAATGGCGGTTTTTCAAATGTTTTCGGTTATTTTAGTCACTGCTGTTTGTTTTGGTGTAAGTGTTGCCAATTTAAATGGGTCTGGGATTGATTTCGACTCGTTCAGGAAGAAGTTTCACCGTTTGTATGAAGTCAACAGTGAGGAATTTAGCCGTCGTCAAATCAATTTTCAGGTAAGAGATTGGTGATGATGAGGAGAGATAGAGAGAATGTTTTTTTACGGGTCTTTGTCCTGTTTTAATTGGAGACTGTTCCAAACTAAGCGTGCAACTGTGTGAAAGCTTAACAAACGGTTGTCTGGTTTCTGTTTAGGAAAAATGTAAACTGAAACGTAAAGTTTTAAAAATAGCAGCACAGATGGATGGATGGATTTGAAGTCACGGTTCAAATTATTTAGTGTCCTGCTAAAGTATTCATACCTCTTTGAATTTACAGCCACAAGTTTTTTATTAGACGTTTATGTGACAAAGCAAAACAATGTCCATAACTGGAAGTGGAACCGTATTCACAATTTTAATATTGTGAAAATAAAAATCTATAGTTATATTTATGTATATTAGACTATTGCGTCCTCTAACACAGGGGTCAGCAATCTTTGCAACTAAAAGAGCCACTTTCTCCTAAATACCAAACCCACAGAAAAAGATGTTTAAAATGTGTCCAAAAATTATTAGTATTATTTTTAAAGGAAGTTAAATTAAATTTTTTTGTTATATGACAAAGTTAATCGAAGTTTCACTGAGGGAAAAAATCATTTATTTTCAGCAGAGTAAACCCTTTAAATAAACATGTTAAAAAAATGAAGTTAAAATATAAAACGCGTAGTGTGACGCTTTATAGGATTTATAGCACGCTTTACTAGATTTTTTTTGTGCTCCGTCACAAAAAATCCTAATGAAAAACATTAAAGTTTCCAGTTGCAGCAAAATGTGAAACAGCTTGTGAGCTATTTTAAAATCCTTGTACCGTTTGTTCCCTGTGTTCTAGATATTCGTTAGAAGAACTGCTAAACCCACCCTTATACTCTTATAATTAATGACTTGTTTGGTTTTGTAAGAACCACAGTAGAGGGGCCAAAGAGCCTTGTGGCTCTGGAGCCACATTGCAGACCTCTTATTTGTTTTGCTCTGTCACAAAAAATCCTAATGAAAAACATTCAAGTTTCCAGTTGTAACAAAATGTGAAAAAGGTTGTGAGAGAAGCTTTGCAAGACATTACTGATGTTTAACCATCTTATAATCTAATGTAGACATAGACAGAGTTTATTGTCATTCAGTTGTACAAATTTTAATGTAACAATTTTTATGTAATTTTAATGTAACACAATGCAAATATTTTAAAATATATGGAAAATGAATAATATTGTTTTGATTGTTATCATGCACAGTTTTACTCCACATCCATTGTTTTCCTTTTTAATCTAATGATAACATTAAAAATTTTGAATTAATTTTTTTTTGCATTTTTCTGTTTTTCCCCTTGTTGTTGCTCTTTTTCCCTCTAATTTTTTTATTCCTAGAAAATATTCCAATGTTGCTTTCTTAGTTGGTTAAACATCATCCAGTATTTGTGTTATGTGTGTTTTTACAGAATGCTGCAGTGCGACATCTATACCTGAACTCATTTTCTGGGCAGACACAGTCTGCTACATATGGCATTAACCAGTTCTCTGACCTTTCACAGATTGAATTTAAGGGTGAGAGGAAAATTCCTTGTGGATTTAAAGCTTGCAGATTTGAATTAGTTGCATGTACTGAGTGTTTGTAAACTAGCAAGTTAAGACATGGTGAATATCTTTTATCAAATCACTTCTTCTAAATGTGTTTAGTCCTGTTCTCTGGCTCTAGAGGAAAGAGCCGTTGTTAAAGTGGATCTTTGTATCCAGGATTGACTTTGGACTGGATCTTTATTTGCAGATGTTTACCTTCGAGCAGAAAGCAGCAGTGCTCCTGGCTTCGTTGGATCGACCAGAGCGGGGCTCCCGGCCAAATTTGACTGGAGGGATAAGGGAGTGGTGGCACCGGTCCAGAACCAATTAGCGGTAAGGTTAATACAGACAGATGATGGATATACTGGATGGCTGTTACACTCAAATTACTGTCAGCAGAAATAAACAACATGGATTAGCTCATCACATTAAAATTTGCTAATGGGGATCCTTTGGTCATAACAAAATAATAATCACATCACTTATTTGCACCTTTCAGGAGACTGGAGCAGAGGTTTACAGGATAATGACACTAGACATACAGCCTGAGCTGCAATAAAATGTTTTAGTTTCACATATATTTATGTGCTAGAATGACCTAGTCAAAGTCTGTACCTGGATAATTGCTGTTCAGAAAATCTCCATCCGGTTTCACTGAACTTGAGCTGTTATGTAAGAAGAATGGGCAAATATTTTAGTTTGAACTTGCAAAGCTGGTAGAGATGAACCACAAATGACCTGAAGCTGACATGAAAGGTGGGGGCTGAATACAAATGCATGCCACACCTTTCAGATTTTGTTAAGAAGATTAGAAAACTTTGACTTATCTTTTTTCTTTGTCACAATGATGCATAGCTTTGTGTTTGTCACTTCAGATCTCAATAAAGTTAGCTGGAGTTTTTTGTTTTCAACTTGAAAAAATGTGAATTCATTAAAGTGAAATTAAAATATTTACAAATCACTTACCTTTGCAACGTCTTTGTTTGCACATGAGGAAAAGTTTGATCTTTTAAACGAGACTAATGTAATAATACACGTGCTGTAATTGAATGTTGTTTAATTATATTATTTGGTTTTATGATTCGATTTTTCAAACAGATGGTAATAACTTCTTCAGTTAACCTGGTTAATGTGGGTGGAGTGAAAGGATTTCAGTCAGTACTGGCATAAAAACCAAGGTTGACCTTACTGAAAGCCGCCACCTGCCACATTCCTGCAGCTTCTCCACATTTCAGCAGCTGCTGCGCTCTCCTCAGCTCACAGTAAACGTTAGTGGCAACAGAGTTCAGCTCAGGGCTTTAGTGGAAAATTTAATTTGAGATTTTAGCTGCCATTTCGTTTTAAATGGAAAGCATAAGTTTGAATGTTTATCATAAAATATATCTTTTACCACGTTGCAGTTTGAAATGAAATTACGGTGCGAGAGGTTCACACATTTAGTTTCGACAATCTGGCTTCAGTTCGTCACCTCACCATCTGCCTCACCAGCTCCTCCTGTCTCCAAAATGCAGATATATACGCCAGGTTAGTGGTGCCGTACAGGTGCACGCATTCTCGCTTATCAAGTCTGTGTTTTTGCTTCATGTGAGAAACAGGGTTGGTATTTTTCAGCCCTGGATTTGTGCATCTACTTCAATATCAGGAGGGACAACTAATCATTCTTCACATATCTGATTTACAGCTACTTATAATGTTTCCCAGTTACACAGTAAGGATGATGAGAGAAGGCTGCCGTTTGCTTTGATCGTTATGAGGAAGGCATCACTCTAAGTACAGTAATGCAGTTCAAAATCCTGAGTTCCACTTACTCTTTAATTATTTTGGTAATTGTATAAATAACTGCCAAGTATTTAAACTCTTTAAATGAATGCATGTTGGAAACCTTCACATTTTCACACCCAAATCACCTTCCCCTCATCTTGGATATATTTAGAAGTCTCAAACTAAGATTTACGACGAGTCCACAGAGAGTTCTCCGTTCTGCAAATCAATTTTAGTCTTGGAGAGTTCAGCTGAAGGTCAAACATTCATCTGAAGTAGTAATGGACAGAATACATATTTGAGTGGCGGGGGAGTTCAATCGTTAAGGAAAAGCAATGAAACGATGACAAACCAAGCCTTTGAGACTTCAGCTCAACGAGCAGAAGGGACCTGGGCTCCAAAAGAACCAGGCTTAGTGAAATGGAGCTGTTGCATGTCCTTTATGAAGGTTCACTCTTTGCTCTTTTTGTCCTTTATCTCTTTAGTAAGTCAATTTGCTGCGGGGGATGATATTTTCACTCTAAAGCACTTCTCCTAAGGGAGGGACGTAACCTATACAGGAGAATGCTGCATGATAACATGGTGTATATTTCATCCTTTTGAGTACAGGGAAAGTTTAGTGCTCCTGGGAGAGTCTGTAAACGACCCGAGTCTCCACACTCACCTACCTCAGCTCTCTTGCAGTTTATCTGCCCACATTTCTTATTGTCTGGCTTGTCTGTGGTCCTTCCTGGGCTGGGTTCCCACACAAGATTAATGGATAGGCAGAAGATGAAACACGATACCATGCACACAGACACCAAATATCAAGTCAATTACATCAGATAAACTCTTCTCGACTCAAAGTTTCCTTGTCTTGATTTCTCATTTATAGCTTCGGTGCAATTCAGTGCTCACAGATGGCTTTAATATTTTGTATGCTTGGTGCATACTTATCTCCAGTCCAGGCAATCAGGATTGAATTTAGTTTCTGTATTGATTTTAAGCCATAGAACCACTTTAATAAAAAAAAAATAAATAAATAAATAAAAAAGTGTTTCAGACAGCAAACGGTTCATAATATTTATGAGAATTTCTGCTGAGGGAGTGAACATGATGTAGTGATCTCCATGCAGTGTGAAGAATAAAATTTGTTAAAATATTAAAGAGGGGAAGGAAAAAAAATCTCTATTTCCCCGCATAATAAGGTATTGCATGCTCTGAATGAAATGGCTACTAGTTTCTGGGAGGGAATGAAATCAACTTCTATCCATTTTTATTACAAGAATTACTTTATGCTTTATGAATATTAGAAATGATCGGCTCTCTAAAGCTTGAGTAACAGCTGGCTCTATGTATTTCTTCATCATGTCTCTAATAGATGAGAGTGGAGTTTATTCATTTAAATTTTCCCCAAGAATTTAGTTATAAAGTGTTTCTGTCAGTAGGTGGCAGCAGAAAGCAATTAGTCACAGTTAATTTGGTTTAGTCGTCTCATCCATCTTTATCATGCAATATAGCAAAAGAATTAGATTTGAAAATGTATTAATGTTAATTTATTGTAATTTAACAAATTTTTTTCTGCTACAAACAGATTCAGTTTTTATCTGAAGTCGGAGCCTTTATATGTGTGGGACTGATTTTTGCACAAAGGCATCACCCACCTCTACAAACCCATGGAAAATAAATGCTATCAGACTAAATGTTTCATTGGCAATATTTTGCTCCTTACCTTATTTCACTGTTTCCTTGTTTTGTAGTGTGGGAGTTGCTGGGCGTTTAGCACAGTCGGTGCTATACAGGCCGTTCATGCTATGGGAGGCTCTCAGCTGGAGCAGCTCAGTGTGCAGCAAGTTGTAGACTGCTCCTATAAAAATGAGGGCTGCAGTGGAGGCTCGCCCTCCCACGCTCTCGCTTGGTTAAAACAGGTGAGGTTTACACTGCGTTACAACTTGAACCAGAAATGACTACTAACATGTCCCTTAAATTCAGTAATTTATCTGCTTTTATGGCTCAAACTGACTTGTTCTTTATAATGTAGACCAGAGTGAAGCTGGTGAGTCACTCAGACTATCCATACAAGGCCAAAACCGGAATATGCCATTTTTTCTCCCCATCACATGAGGGTGTTACTGTGAGGAACTTTTCCCTGCATAGCTTCAGGTAAGAGACAAATGTTTTAAAGCACAATGAGCAGCTGAAACCACATATGGGATTTAAAATCACTCATTACTGTTTATCTGACATTAATCCAACCAGTCAGGATTACTAATTTATTAAATTACTGTGCCTTTAATTAATTTGGTAAAGCCATTTTGATGCATTTTAAGGCATCCTTCTCATACACACTGTTTTCTTTGGTGACATTATAAAAAAAAATCTAAAGATATCAGTGAAGACATTAGGAAGAGAATTGTGTAACTCCTGACGCTGGAATCCACAGTGACGGTTCCATACGGACCTGGGCAGAAAGGCCACTCACTACGAACAAGCCATTATTTCCAAAGCAGCATAAAAAAAAAAAATCACATTTCTGTTTATTTATTTAGTTTATTATCCAATTGGTCTTAAACCAAAGTGTTTGGTTGGACTAATCAATGTTACATTTGGAGGAAAAAGAGTGAGCTTACAGACTCAAGAACACCATCCAAACTGAAGTAAGTACGAGTTTGGCAGCATCATGCTACGGGGCTGTTTTTTTTTTTTCTTTTCTTTTTTTTTGTTGCAGGAAGGTCTTGTGGACTTTACATAATATCTACGTTCATGGGGCAGGAGCTTGTGTGGAAATATTGAAGCAACGTTTCATGATATGAGCTATGAAGTTAAAGTTGGGGCTCATATTTACCTTCCAAATAGACAATGGCCTTCAGCATCCAGCCAAAGTGGTTACAAGGGGGCTAAAGACGACAATGTTTTGGTGTGGCCATAAATGGGTCCAAATTACAACAAACTATTGTGGAAAGTTTGTGGAAGGATATCCAAGTCATAAAGTATAAATTCTACAAATCACTGAGGAAATGTATGTAAACAACCTTTGGGAAAAAGTAATTAAAACAATAACAGATTTTCTGGCATTTAGCAACTGAAAATAATTCTGGTAATCCTCACTGACCTTAAAAAGTAAAAGTTTAGTCTGATTTAGTATCTGCATGCACATATTTGATTTTAGTTATATATAATAAAAGCTAAAAAATAATGTAATTATGAATTTTAACTTGGTCATTAAAGAGGAACAAGTACAGAGGGCAGAGGGTGTAGGATTTGTCCTGTCCAATCACAGACCACCATGATCAGTCAGTCAACACAGGTTCTGATAGCTCAGTAGCACAAAGGTGTTTCTGTCTGAGTCGGCTGTTATGACCAATGACAGGCAAAATATTTTATTTGATTTTACTCATGTTGGGAAGATGGTTTTAATTGAGCTTTTAAGTTTTATATGTCGTCCATTTTCTTTTGCACTTCTTCCTTCAACCGTAAGACTCTAAACTCTAAATATGATTTTTAAAACATCACATATGCTGACAGATCATTTTCACTCACAGTGCCTGTTTGAGCTCAATGTTTAAAGAGATGTTGATGCCACTCTTTGATAAAATATGCAAAGCTATAGATGTATACTGTAAAACCAGACACAGAAGGCTGTAGGCATAATTGGATGCTTTTTCAGTTACTGTTTACTTTTAAGGATCCTTCAAAAGGAAATTCAATGAAAAAGCAACAATAATAAGAACCAGTCAGCCTGGTAATAAATCTGCTAGTTGTAATCATCTCACGTGCAAAGGAGACGCATAAATCACTTGCCAGGGAAATGGGAGGATGAGTGATGACCGTGGCCAAATGCCCACTGGTTTGTGTTGCCACCAGCTGGCCTGGACTGTCATCCAGGCAAAGAGTCTTATAAGCCTCTGCTTAGCAGAACACAGCAATTGGCAGCTGAAAAAGGGAGAGTTCAAGTGTTTCACTTGAGAGCAGATTTGCGCTTATACTGCAGGACCCTGGATCTCCATCAGATGGACGTGTTCACCTCGCATCTGTGTTCAGAAAGCAAAATGATTCAAGAAAAACTAACATATTCTGAAAATGTGTGAGCTCGCTGTGAAAAAATAAAAGGAATAAACATCAGAAACATGAAAGTTGTTCCGCTTTTCAAAAGGTGTGTTCTGTTAGATGTCAGAGAAATCTTTCTGCCTCGAGTCCGAGCCGTAAAAACCAGCATGAGCACAGAGACTGACGACATCGTGAAGCAACGCTCCAACTTTCCAGAATTTGTATCGATCTGTTCATAGTTCTGAGTGAAGTTTGCTGTGATGTTTATCAACAGCCATGTTTGTCCAAGGAGGTCAGGATGAGCAGGACTCACAGGCAGCTGGTGATGTCCAGACTTTCTCTGGCTACAAATGCAATAAACCTGCACTGGTTCTCAAAAAATGTGCTCTGCTCAGATGAGACCAAAACTGAGCTTTTGGGGGGTTTAAGTGCTTTGTGCTGCAAAAACTCGAGCTCTGAATACAAAGGCATGCCACATTTTTCAGATCTGTATTTTGAAACATTTTGTAAACCATGTATAATTTCCCTTCTGCTCTATGATTATACCCCACTTGGTGTTGGTCTGTCACTCACATAAAAACATAATAAAACATGTTAAAGTTGGTGGTTTTTAACGTGACATGAGAACGTTCAAGCGGTTTATTTATACAGCACTTCTCCACGGCTCTGTAAAAGCCTGCCTAATAAAATAACTAAAAATATTTACAGATCTCAGGCTGAGAGAAGATTAAGGGAAACCAAGGTCATAATTTTCAGTAATAATTGAACTTCAGGTTCTTAAATAATAGCAGAAAATCCTTCTGAGCCCCAGTGGAATCAGAGTACTTTAAATCAAACTCAAGCAGGGCAGAGCTGCCGCTTTCTGCTGCTATCATAGACCTTCATTAAATCTCACGTTTAGCCAGTGACTTATTTTCTAACAAAACAAAAGAGATGATTGTAGATTTCAGGAGAAACTGGGGTAGATCAAACACTATTTCCCTAACAGGAGAGGAAGTGGGGATGATGGAGGAGCATAAATACCTCTGTGTTCACCTGGACACGGACTAAGCTAGAGACGTAAATGAAATGATCACAGCCATTTCACTAAGTTTGAAGAAACTTGAATAGAATGAGTTACTTTGACATTTAAGTTTCCTCTGGGATTAATGAAGGATTTTTGTGAGAGAGGGTTGAAAAACGTTTAAGGTGAAAAATTAAAGTCTAAAGGAACTGATTTATATTTTAATTTAGTAGTTTGGACAGCAATTCTCTAAATGTTTCTTATTCATATTTCAGATCCCTACCTGGTTTGTAGTTAAAGCAAGTTGGTAATGTTTCATAGGTATTGTTTTTTGTTAAATAAGAGCGTACAGTGAAAGTGTATTGTGACCTTATAACACCTGACAGTCAGTTAAACAACTAAAACATTGGAATTGACAGGTGAGGCTTTTTAAAGATTGATGATCGACTAGAAAACTGCAATCAGTGCACTTAGGTCATTTGGCAATTTTCTACATTGAAGGAAGTTTACAGCTCATTATTCTCATTTTTAAAGTAAGTGTGAGAGTCGAATATGCTAACATTTTTGTTTTGAATTCATTCTTATTTTCTTTGCTAATCCCATTTGTTGATTGTTTTTATAGATGACTCCAAATTTATCTTTGTCAATAAAACTTCCTCTGAATTTTCCACAAACGCAGCCTGGCCTTGTTAAGCACAACTTAAAGCAAAGATGATCGTAGTAAATGCCAATGTCACGCTACCACTTGAATTACTCGTTTTACCCTTTTCAACAATTCTCTGATCCAGCATGAAAATGTGTCTTTGACCTGCCTCCTGTCTTCAGGAGTGGGACGTCTCTGCTAGTAGTTGTCTCATCAGGAGGCCAGATCTTTGCTGCAGCACAGCGAAACACAAACACCATGACAAAGTCAAAGTGGCTTTTCAGAATAGTTCATCACATAGAAAGAGGCCCTATGGACGACACGTAATGAGCCTGGCAGCGGAGGGCATCACAGATTCCCCCAGTGGGAATCGTCTGGCGGGATGACAGGAAGGGGCAACAGAAGGGGGCCTGCATATGCTCAATGTAGAAGAAAAGAGAATATATGTCATATTTGTTCAAAAGCAGATGTACTAATGAGAAATATGGATAGTAGATCAACTTTAATGGTGAGAAGATGGCAGAAGCATGTCCATCTTTCAGATGTTTGAAGAATCTTTAAAGCTTTCAGCACATGTCCATGTTCAGCTCTCTGACTTTCTCATGTTCTTCAAATAACAAGTTAATCAAAAGGCCAAAGAAGCCACCCATAGAGAATATGCTTCTGTCATTTTCTTCCACAGTGGTCAAGAGGAGGCGATGATGGGTCAGCTGGTGCAGTTTGGTCCTTTGGCTGCCATCGTGGATGCTGTCAGTTGGCAGGATTACCTGGGAGGCATTATCCAGCACCACTGCTCCAGCCAGTGGTCCAACCATGCTGTCCTGGTTGTTGGATACGACACGACTGGTACAAACTCCTGCACCACAGCTATGTGGCTCTGTATTCTGCTTTAGATAATGTGGGCTGTAAAAGTAATTTACACAAATTAGTGCTATGGGAGAACAACAAGAGGCCCATTATGTTACTAAGGGGAATATATTATTCAGAGATCGTGGAACTAAGATACGAGGATTTTAGTTCCTTGCATTTCTTTCCTCATGTTTGAAAATAAAGGGGATGCTAAGTTTACTCTTTTATTCCAGACCAAATTTTTACACAGAATTTTCCATCACTTAATTTGTTAGATTCTCTTCCAGTCTGTTGAAATGATCAACATCAGGTTAAAGAAAATGGAGTATGAAACCAATATTTGTTTTTCCAGATCTCATCCAGTTGCACTATTCCTCTAATCAGTTGATGAATTTACAGCTAAAACTGGAAATGTACCAAAAAGAAAGACTTACACCTTTCTTTTCTCACTGTCTGAAGTGAAATCAGACCAAACTTCTCTTGTTTTAGGTCATTTACAACCAACTAAATTATTACAATTTGCTAAAGGCCAAAAATGAGATAAAACAGTTTGTCAGATTTATTTATCAGTGTCATTAAAATAAGAAGTTTACATACTGTCCTTAGTATTTGGTGGAATTACCTTTGAACTCTATGACGGGTCAGATGTTTTGGGTTTACTTGTATGGAGTCATTGTCCATTGGGAAGACCCATTTGGACCCAACCTTTAACTTCCCGGCTGATGTCTTTAGATGTTGTGTCAATATTTTTTACGTAATGTTCTTTCCTCATTATGGCATCTATTTTACAAAGTGCATCAGTTCCACCTGCAGCAAAGCAGCTGCACAACATGATGCTGCCACCGCCTTTCTTCACAGTTAGGATGGTGCAGGCGTCCCAGTCGGCTAGTTACGGTTCTCTTTGTGTTTTGTTTCCTCCTTTCTGAGTGGCTTTCCAGCCCAGTTCACTACAGGACCTGTTTCACCGTCTTCAACAGTGTCTTCACAAGATCTGTGACTTTTAAAGAGTCAGTAATCATTCTGTAATCATTCTGTATGTAAACTTCTGGTTTTGAAGACATTAATAAATAAATCTGATATTCTTTCATTATTGTGGCTTTGGGCAAATCGAAATAGTTTTGGTAATTCTGACTTGCCTAAAAAAAGAACAGTTTGAGTTTTCTTTAACTGTAGCTATTTACCCTCATATTAAATTCCTAACAGAGTCGACCCCCAACTGATTTTCATATTTCTCAGCTTGAATAATTTAACATAGTCTTATTTATGGTGTATTGTAGAAAGAAAACAGTATTTATGTAAAGGCGTAAACACAAACAACCTATGAAGCTGATGAAATGCATGTTCTGTTTCCTAGGACAAATACCTTACTGGATTGTACAGAACTCCTGGGGAACGACATGGGGAGATCAGGGTTACGTTTATGTAAAAATCGGTAGCAACATCTGTGGTGAGTTCATCTCCTTCATCTTTTTGCGTATTTTGATGCATTAATGCAGTCTGTTGTTCTCCTAAAGTGTTAATCATGCTTTTCTTTTTGGGTTTCTTCCCAGGTATCGCAGATTCTGTGGCAGCTGTTTTTCTTTGATGACAGTTTATATTTGAGTCAGATGGGTTTGTGTGAGTCACTGCATGCGGCTGCTTCCCGTTGCCAAAATGAAATAAGTCATCTGCTCGTCTTCAGTGTCACTGTGGATAATGCTTTTATTGAAATGTAGCCATCTTGTGTCACAAAAACAAATAAATCTCCTCGTATGTTTGCAACTGTTGGATTATAACAACAAACTGCGACACAATAAAAGTATTTTCACTATGCAAAGTACATCCATCTTATTAAATACAAAACATGTATTAGAACTCATAATTCTGCTATACAAATATATAATGAATTGGTAGATAAATACATTACAAAATTATGCAGAGTACTATACAAAACATCTGAAAGAGCTACATCATTAGGATTACGTAATAATTCATGGCTTCTCTTTGATATCATATTTAAGCTTTAGACATTGACATTTTTATGCTTGAGATTTCATCTTATTTACACTTTGTTTCACTGAAGGTGCATTTTGGTTTGTCTGAAGCGGCCCACTGTGACATGCTGACATGAAAGGCGTTCTGTAAAACCCGGCAGCGTTGTCCCTCCGCGCAAGGTTTGATCATTCCACCCACTGATCCGCTTGCCTCCAGGTCAGCTCTTCTTCATTTACATAACAGTTACTGAAGGAACATCTGAGCAGGTCTTATCAAGGAGCCGTCTGCCGCACTGCGACTCCGAGACAAGATTAAAGTAAAATAGCATGATTCGGTATCGTGAAACATTTAATGTCAGACATTATGTCACAAGCTCTACGACTCGTTTTATTTTTATTTTTGTGGTTTATTTTTACCACGTGCTAAAGCTTAATATTTACAAGCCTAACTTCACATTTCAATCTTATATTTATACATTCAGTGAGTCACCCTTACATCCTTTTAACTTGGTATAAAACAATAAAGTTCATCATTTTACTTACTTACATGAAGTTTACTACAATGTTTATTGGTCTTGAGAAAAGTAAAGTTGAATCAACTTTAAGTCAGAGTGATGCTCTGACTCATGCATATGTTGGCCCAACACAGGAGCTGCCCTACACCTACACACTTGGCAAATAAGCCCCCGGCTGTGATCTCTGTCACAGCGAAGGGAAGCCATAACAGACGGCTGAGATGAACTCCTAGTCCGAGTCCTCGCTGCTGCAGTAGGAGCTGTCGCAGCACTCGGCCATGTACAGGAAGGTGTGAACGTTGGGGTTCAGTTTGGGCACCCAGTGACGAGGCACCAGGAACGTTGCCAGGTTAAACAGATCCACAAACACTTTGTAGCGGTCACTAAAGAGAAAGAACATCATGTAGTTGTACGTTGGACACTACAGAAAAATGCTGCTGTTCTGAAAAGTCCAAACTTTCTGGAAAACAATATCCGAGAAATAGGTTATTCTTTGATGATTCTGTCCTTATCTAAATCATCTTGGATGGGCTCTGCAGAGCGATGTTTGCAGTCAGGAGACTGAAGTTAAAATTAAACAATACCTGACAGTGGATCTTAAGTAGTGGTAGCCTGATGAGCCCCCCGTGCCTGCTTTGCTGCCAATCATTCGATGTACTATGCACACATGGTTGTCTTGAAGGGAGAAAAAGAAAAAAAGTAAAAATCTTTGCTTTGACATCATTTATGCTGCCACTTCCAGTGCACTGTTGAAGTATTTATATCCCTTTAACTCTTTTACATTTTTTCATGTTAGGGTTTTATGTGATACATCAACACAAAGTGACACATAATTGAAAAGAATACATTGGGTCAAAAGTTAATTTACAACTAAAAGAAAACTGTGATCCATTTGCATTCAGCTCATTGATCAGGGGTATTTCTCTACCAGATTTACACAGATGGAGACTGAGATTTTGCCTCTTCTTTGCAAAACAGAAAACTACAACACACACCAATGCTTTCATGCTTAATTTTCAATCTCGCATGGAAGCCAAAAAATAGAATTTTAGACCCATCTGACCTGAACGCCACATGTTTGCTGTGCCTGCTGCAGAACTTGTGGCAAACTTCTCAAGGCTTTACTTCATATCTTTCTTCTTGAAACTAATACAATTTGGATTTGTTTTTACAGTACTCCCACCATTACCCAAAAAACCGAGATAAAATTACACACAAGTGGAATTTTCTAATTCTGTCGATTGCATTGAATTTTATTAAGGTAAATTTTTATTTTTTATTAAAATGAAGAGGGCTGAATATTAATGGAAACTATATTTAATTTTTTTGTAAAAAAAAAAAAAACACATTGAAAACCACATATCCTTTTCTTTTTTACCTCAGTATCATCCTCTTGTTGGAAGAAATGTTTTTTTTTACATTTCCAGGTTTATGGACATCTACTTTGAGTCACTTTTTAACGTCATGTGGTCCCTGTTCACCCAGTTCTGGCTTTATGCTAACTAAAACCTCTGTTGCTGACACGGTGTATGCAGAAAGTCCCATAGAAATACTTACATCTCCATTTTGTCATGAGGTTGTCCATGTCCATGAGGGATGTGAGCAGCTGGAAGGGAACCTGGAACCTCGGCTCTTCCCTGAAAGGTGAAGGAAGGTTTGATGTTTTAAACATCTCATGAAAATCCTTCTAAATTTTAATGGGAGTAAAATGAGAGCAGCTGTCTCCTGTGCACCACCAACAACCTCGGCAGTTTTGCACTAATTATCACTGTGCAGTTGCTGCCGGATGACTTTGTTAGCTCTGCTGAAGCCTTAATGAGCCTCATGTGACATCCTGTCCTTATCACATGTGTTACGTAGCTACGACACCTTTAAGAAAATCTGACAGACATGCTCAGACTGTTGAAGTTTCCTCAAGACCTCTTTACTAGTGCTGTAGGTGTCGCCTGGCTGACAGGGTTTCAGAACCGGGCTTGTGATATGGAAATGTTATGGGGAGGAATTAATGAGCACCCCTGCCTCTGGAACGTGCACTGAGATGTTCTTAAGTTAGTCCCTTTGGAGGTGCCAACACCTTCCAGATATAAAAAGTAATGTATGAAGTGTAGTAATACGGTGTAAATGCTCCAGTTTCACTAGAAAATTAAAGGTGGAGAAACACAAAGAAAAGCTTAACTTACCTGTAGAAGTAAATCATCAGAGCACCTTGCAAAGCCTTGTAAGACAGTCGCCTTTCCCCTTGTTAGCAGAAAAAAAAAAAAAAAAAAAAATTAAACAAAAAAAAAAAAAAAAAAATTGAAGCAACATAAATGTACTTTATTTGTGTTGCAAAAGTTCAAACTCAGTTTTGAGGAAGCGTTGAACACACAGAGCATCTCCAGCAGTCTGATTAAACGGCTACCTTTGCTGACCAGATGGTCATGACGCTTTTCATCGAACAGGGACGTGAAGTGCTCTCTCTGTTTGACAAGCTCAGCCATCAGCTTCTCTTTCTCCTCCGACTCTGGCATTTTCTACACAAATAAACAATGCCCGCAAACAAAAAATCCCCAAGTTCTGTCAATCATCCATGCACTCCGGGGCGAAGCTGGGAAAGTTTGTTCTGGGAGCTGAAGTTATTTCTTACCTCGATTTTCTTCTCCTCCGCATTCAGCCCGTCAAATATATTTATTTCAAGCCGTTCCCAGAAATTGAATCCATCCACTTCCAAGCCAGGCGTTCTCTCCAGCCACTCCTGAAAGAAAGGCCCAAAGGTTTTATGCCATTTGTTCCCTGCTCAGAGCAGGTCCAACCACACCGTTATGTGAATTAACGTGTGGCTCTAAATCAGGGGAATCAATGGCAAGAGGGACTTAGACGAACCTCAACCAGCTTCAGAAGCGTTGGCTCTTGTTCTGCGTCTAGAAGCGTCTCAGTATCATCCCCTCTAATGTAGTCCTTGTAATGCCGTCGGTTGTAAGGAACCCTCAGGTTGTCCTGCACCCCAATTTTGTTCTCCAGAAGTCGAAACTGAAGGCTTTCAAACCCAGAGGCGGAAATCAGGTACTTCCTGCAGACACAAGATCAAATAAACATCAACAAGCAATTCAAGACATAGCGCCTAAATGTATAGTTATTCATGAAGTTAGCAATGAGTTTACCTGAAGTCAAAGAAATCCAGCGCTGTCATTGTTTCCAGAACTGCGAATTGGTCAACCAGCAGTCTGAAGATCATTACAATCCGGTGAATCCGTGTGTTGACTTTGAGCATGTTGCGTTCATCTCTGACCTGAGGGAATAAAAAACGTATGACCTGACCAATAATGACCATACAGTCTCCAAAAACCTCCCAAGACAAAGAAGCTGTAGTAGTAATGAGACGTGTATCCGTTTTGGGGCAATTAGACTTTCTTGTTTTTATCTGAGCTCTAAATTTAAAGGTAACTTTAATTCAGGCAGAGACGCTGAGATCTGACTCTTATAAACAGTTTGAAACCTTAAACACTGAGGCTCTAAATCTGTCGGTACAAAATGTTCTTTTCTGTGTGCCTTACATGTCCGCTGATGAAGATCTCCCGCACCGAATCGATCTCAAAAAGAATCTGCTTGAACCACAGTTCATAGGCTGAAATAAAAATCAAAGGTTTAAACATCATAAATACATCTGCATCAGATTAGAGTTAAGATGCTCAGCTGTCAACAGTGAAGTAGGTCACCCTCTACAGGTAAATAATTTTCTGCTTGACTAAACACCAGTAAGACATATTGAACTGTACCTTGATGGGTGACGATGAAAAGATGCTCGTCATGGATTTTATTGCCCTGCAGTTCACTTTGCAACACTTGAGCTGTGGTTATTTTATCCAGCTGAGGTTTGGAATTGAGTAAAGCAAACAGCAGATAGTTGGTTTCTAAGTTTCTTCCTTAAAAACGTCCCAAAGATAAAATGTCAGTCTTCCTTGCTGTTTTACCTGCAGGTAGTCTCCATAGATGATTCTTCCTTTGCTGTCCTCTCCCCCTGCCTGCGAGGCATCCTGGCTTTCTTCAGTAGAAGGTTTATTTTTGAATAACCTGCAATATGAAAGAAGGCAGCCCTCAGTCATTTGGGTTTTTTTATCAACAGAAATGAAAAGGCCTGCATTTTACTGTGTATGTGAAAAAATAAATAAAAGTCTTTAATGTGATAAACATACAAATGTTTCTTCTCAAAGTACGGGCATCCACTCATGGTTTGTCCTAGTCTGTTGCAGCAGGGATGTGCTCCTCTTCGTTTTATAAAATTTACTAAAACGGTCTTCAACTCGGTCTGAGTTTTTAAAGATGTAACTCATCCAATCAATCACGAGGACGCAGTCACCATCCGACCCGCCTCTATTTGCCCCATGCTCTCTGTTTATCTTGAACTGTGGCTACAATCTGGACTTTGTGTTACCAAAAAAAGACAACAGTTCACAGTAGCTGATTTTTTTTTTATCATGAAATCAAAATAGATTATTTTTGCTGCTTGCTGAAAACATTTAGGTTTGACATAAAAAGCTGGACAGGAAATGAAGCTCACCTTCACTGCAGCTTACAGGAGAAAGTCATCTGCAGCAGAAGCCAACAGGTAGTTCTGATTTTTTCATTCTGTTTCTCTTTCTGCTCTCTTTTCCTTCCTCCTCAATGGAGATCAGTTGGACAGGTCTAAAACCTCCTGACTGTTTAACTCCATGGTTGTTCTGGTGAAGGAAAAACCACCTGTCATCTACAGAACCAGTAGAACGTATTGACCTCCCTCCACTTTTACATTTTTTACGTTAAAGACTTATTCTAGAACCAGTTTGTGTTAAGTTTTCTTTTAAAAAAAGATTAGACACAACATTTTTGATTGACATGTTCAAGATGTTTGTTAGTAACTCCACAGAAATGAGCGCTGCTTCCAGTCGGCCATCAGGCCTTAAATGTAGTGACCAGAAGCTTCTTATAGCTTCAGTTCAGTTGGTTCTGCTGGAGGTTTCTTCCTGTCAAAGGGTAGTTTTCCTCTCCACTGTTGCTATGTGTATACTTAGGATGAGGAATTAGTGCAAAGTCGATGAGTTTGCGAGTGTTTGTCTATTGTTGCTACATAACTACAGGATTAGTGCAAGTCACTGATTTGATGCAATCTGCTGAGTTTCCTTAGAAAGAAAACTAAATAATTTAAAAAATCTCAAGTGTGTCAAAGTGTCTCAAGCAATGTGTGTTGTGAATTGGCTCTATATAAATAAACAGAATTGAATTGTCCCTGAGTGACACTAGAGTGAACCTAAACATGGCTGACCAACCAATCTGACTCGGCTTGAAAGGTTCTGCAGAGAAGAAAGGAAAGGACAGGAGGAAAATACTCAAAACAGGTTTACCAAGTAAAGCAGGTATGTCTTCACTAGGCATGTGAAGATATACCTGAGATGATTTAAAGGTGTGATTGCAACCCAGCACACCTCGGCAATATGAGTTTAAGATATAATGAGATCATATGAGTGTAGAGAAAAAGATGCTAAAATCAGTAATGTAACAAAATCAGAAACATTGAAGGAGTGTGAACACTTTTGTTGCCGTTATATTTACATGTCTCTATAAAACAAGATGAGCACTTTTACACAAAATATCTTCCATTTTCTTTTCTAATCTTATGCAGACATTTCCATCATATTTTTAAAATGTCTTTACACTTTCACCAGAAACTATCAAACTACCAAAATTTGTTTTATATTCAGTCTCATTATGAACAGTTTTCTGATCATGATGACGGCAGTAGAAAAATGATAACCAGTGGTTGCTTTAAAAACGAAACATCAAACATCTTTAGAAACTGAAACCGAGTCCAGAATCATGAGCAACAATCCAATTACCAACTAAACCATCAACTGAAACATTTCCTTCCAGATTGGAGTTTTTAAAGTTTTCTTAAACTTTAGTAAAATAAAACCCATTTAAATTTAAACATTCTGGCTTTTCAAAATTCTTGCGAACCTCTTGGATTATCATAATTATTGTTAGTAACATTAGATTGTGAGTGTTTGTGGACAGCTCTATGCCCGGTCAAAGGTCTTCTTTACTGTTTACTGTTATATTTGTGATGAATCAAACAACCTGCTGTTACATAACAGATGGACCTGCTCTGTTCTTTACACAGAACGACCTGCCGCCCTGCTCTGGCGTGGACGTTACAGAAATGTCTCATCTGGAGACTCGTGATGATAAAAGTATTTCTTTTATTTCTTGGAAAAAAATCACATTTTTTAAAATAATTTTTATTCGTGGCTTAATAATGAATTAGATGCAATTTTAAAGTTTTTTTTTCCCCTCTGTGTGTGTGTGTGTGTGTGTGTGTGTGTTTTAAATGTTTTATGAACACATCCACATGCTTTTTGGAAATCACTGCTGCCAGTCTGCAGGTCATTCATCTGTAAATATTTGCACTTTGGTTAATATTTAATTCTGCTCATTACTGCATCTCAGTGGCTCTGAGAGTATTCTGTGAAACACTCCAACAGTTTCCAGAGAAAAAGCTTCTTTGTTTTGTAGAAAGCGGGTTGAGAGCTGCTGAGGACAGCGTGTTGGAAACGCAGCCTTGTTACACCTGCAATATCAGCTGTCACACAAAGTTCATGGGAACTGTTTGTTTGCTTTGGGTCTCAGGTGGCGGGTTCTGTGGAAAATAATGACAAGCTCGATGGCCTCCACCACAACACGCCGTCAGTCACAGCAGCCGTTTAGGAGAACCGTTGAGCCGGTTTCTTCAGTGAAAAACTAAGATTTCACAGTCCGCCCTGTGAACCTCCCAGATCATTAGCTTTGTGTTTTTTTTGTTGCTCTTTGTGGACTTAACCAAGTTGAGTCCCATCAGCGCGTGCAGCAGTCCTAAGAAGATCAGAGGGATGGTAATAAGCAGCTATTTCTGAATTGGGACAAGGTACGAGCCTAGCATGAGGAGCAGCAGCGGACCCAAAAAGCTTTGTTCTTGTTCCCATTTAGCTGGGATAAATGGGACTCTAGTGGAGACGGGTTATGATGGATGAAGTCTTTGAGATGACATGAAGCCATCACTGCAGATTTTCTGAGCCTTAACAAACCCGTCCATCACGATGGAAGGACACAGGTGTCTTTATGAGTCATCTCGGAGGTCTGAGTTTGAGGCGGATTAAAAAGGAAGCGGGGAGATGTCCTGTTTTTGTTCTGGCTGCCATGCGAACCCTTCCTGTGAAAGTTTACTCGTATAACTGTCTCCCCTCCATGTCTTTGAACTCTGCAGTCATAATTTCCTGCTGCGGGGATGTTTTTATCAAGCAGCGCGCCTTGCCTCCAGCTATGATTTGTGATCTTAATATAACTTTTAATCATTTTTCAGCTCTCAGCCCATCATTTTAAATGTCAACATTCTTATCCGTGAAAAGTGTTCAAAAATCAAACAGGGGAAAAATAAAACAACAAATGTGTCGGCGTGTGACCTGCATGTTCATTCTGCAGGTTTTCCACCCAGTTAGGACTAATTATTATCCAGCTTTATGCAAAAGTATTTACTCCCTTACAGATTTGTTCTGTTTTTGCTTTTTTAATTCCATTAAAATGTAAATTTAAATGGACTCTATGTAAAAAGTAGTTGAAATGGTGTAGAGTTTCAGTAATTACTTTGGTAGTAACTGCTTTTCACCATTGTGAGATATTTCCAGCTTTAGTTCTGTGAAAGTATGTTTGACTGGGAGAAAGAAGGAAAGAAAGAATAAAGTTGTTACAAACTGACTGTCAGATATTTTCCTTCAGGATTTTCTGATAGAAAGTTGATTGTTCCCTCAGTTCAGGAAAATAGCCCAGACCATGATGCTGCCACCACCATGTTTGACTAACTGTAATGTTCATTGTTTGAAATGCTGCGTTAGCTCTCTGGTTGGTGCAATGTGACACATACTTTATGAAATATCTCAAAATATCCTCCAAATGTCTGATCATGGAGGTGGTTTTTTGTTTTTGTGTTGGTCAGACGTCCTGTAAGTGTTCTTGATGTTCTTGATGTTCTCTTGGAGTCATTTCGGTTGGCTGGCCTCTCCTTTTTTCCTTTTCTCCTTTTTTTCCAGTCTGTGGATATTTTCTCTTACTTTGATTCCAAAGACTTGGAAATAAATCTGGAAGCTTTTCCAGGCGGATGGATTTCGGTCACCTTGCTTCTCGTCTGTTTTAAGATCTCAATGTGGTGTGTTGTTTTCCTAAAATGCTTCGTGTTTCCAGAAAGGTTTTATTGAAGTGATTTATTGACTCTCCAGGGCAGGTATTAATCAGACCGGAGTGGGGCTATTGAAGTTGGACTCAACCTTCCAAAAAATATGATTAATCACGGGTAATAAAAGATTTAACTAGAATATCAATTAGTTCTCCATGCAGGGCCCAGTTGGTTTGGACAGCTTTTTTTCCTCATCATTATTTGAAAACTGCTTTTGACATAAATTATTATTAGAAGAAATCTATAAGAGTTAAAATACTGTTCCATTGTTTTGGAGTATAGGAATCTGCCAGTTGTGATAATATTCTTTTTTCCTAAATAAGATGTTTAGGCTAGCCTCTTTTTATGGTTTAATTCTCCATGACTCTACTCTATAAAAGTATAATGTTATCTTGCCATGTGGGGAACAAAGACTACCAGAAAGCTTGTGATCACAAGTGAACAAAGCCGGATTTTCTCTGAACATCTGTTGTTCACACACTGTCTGTGCACCAAGAGCTGCTTTTATCCCACATTTTGTCACCTCTTCGGAAAACATTTGCAAATAGAAATAGTGGGTGTAACTCTGTGGATAGTTTTCTTTTAAGTGGGCAAATGAAACTAAATAATTCCCATATTTTTTAAAAAAAAACTTTTGCATGAATTTTTTTACACCTCTAAATGAATGATCTTACTTCCAGGTCTGTGGAAAGCAGTGGGTCCACAATCTGTCCCATAAAAGTGAATGAACAATGAATTCACACTTGCATTGGCTGCTTGTTGAACTGTAACACATCAGCTGTAAACACAAATCTAACACAATAAATGAATAAAGCTGTTGCATAAATACCATAAAGCTCTATTGAACATGCATTAAACAGTGAACCTGAAGTGATTTGGATTATATTAGTGTTTCATTTGTTTTATTAAAAATCTGGAGATTTTTTTCCTTGTGATAGGATCCTTCCAACTTCACATTAATTAGTAAATCTCCAATGGCATCTTCATTTTAAATAACTGGAGTTTCATGTCTTACATTATTAATTTTTGACAGCTTATAATTAGAGCTTCCATTTTTAAAGTCTTTA